AATGAGGAAGAAATTGAGTATTTGGAAGAATATGCAAAAGTAATGCAACCTATCGCAGAAGCTATCGACTTCCTTCAAAGAGATCAAAATATGTTCTTTGGTTACTTTATTCCAACTTTACTGTCCATCAAAATAAAAACGCGACGTTTAGCTTCCGAAAACATGAAATATTTGACGGAAACTAATATTCAAATGCAATCAAAGCTAATGCAAAGGTTTGAAAAATATTTTAGTCTGCACTCTGACTCTTGGGATGCAGTTATTGCAGCAATTCTCATTCCCGATATCAAACTAAAATTTTACAAAACTTTGCTAGAAGTGCTGATATAAACTCTAGAAGATGTTCGGGATAAATTTAAAGAATATGCGATGGAGTTTAAAAGACAACCGGTAGGGGAAGATAATAATTTACAGCCTTCCATAAGTGCTAATACATCATTTCTCGAATTCGATGAGGAGTCTACAGGTATTTGATTAAAAGAAACCAACCTGCAAAAGTTTTGTAAATAATTTGCTTTTTTAGATGAAAATCGGTATACATGTTGCCATGGCGGAGCTATAGCAACTGAAGTGCTTTGTACCTGAATGACGAGGATAGGAGCATTGAAGCTTTGCATCGCTTTCCTACTATAAAAAAAATGTTTTTAAAATAGAATACACCTCTTCCTTCATCTGCGCCAGAGTTTTCCTTTGCTGGGATTGTCAATCGATCGACAAGGCAAAATCTTTCTGACCAAAACTTTGAAATGTTGGTACTAAAAAAGGCAAATAAAAAATTAATTATGTTTTTATATTTTTGAAGCGACGTACTATAATTAGAAGTCTCTTCTCAAGAATATTGTTTATTTTGAATATATTTTTTTCACTGCTTCAGCTAATATAGTCTTACTTTATTCTTCAAGAAGAACTATGTCATAACCATAAAGCTTGTTTACAGACAAAAGCAATGTCATTTTACTGAAAAATTTTAATTATCAATAAAGGTTTTCACTATCACTAAATATTAAGTGGTAGTGCAAATTGTTTTTCACTGTCACTAAGGGTTTAGTGATAGTGCAATTTGTTTTTAACTATCACTAAATGTTCAGTGATAGTGCATTTTTTTTACTATCACTAAAATTTTCAGTAATAATGGATTCTGCATTTTAACTATCACTGAATAGACAGTGGTAGTAAAAAGCGTATTGCATTCATTTTTTAGTGCATTGTGCCCAACCCTGGACGTAGTTTAATATTTCATTGTGTACTAGTTAGCTAAATTCGACTTTCCAAACAGATGGCAGCCCTCTGCAAAACATTTACAAACTACTACCTTCTTAAAATACTTTCGTATGATGCCCATATGGTGATACATACAATATATTTCTATTACCGAATTCTCTTAATTCATATTGAATAAATTTTTTTAAATAGGTGTCAACCCTCCTACAATTAAGTTAAAAAGCAGAGCATTTTTAAAAAATTTCGATTGACTGGTACTCATTTGGTAATCAGTTGGTTTAACATTTTAAATTATTTGAACCTAACTTTTTAAAAGGTGGCAACACCTTTCGAAAAAATAAAACCAGCCACTTTTGAAAATCGAACGAACGGTGTGGATCTGACGACATTGATCATTAATGAATTTTAGTCTAATTGCTTAACAGTTGGCAAATCATTTAAAAAAAATAACTCGTTTGCATTTCAACAGCCAAAGCACTTTATTTTGTAACCTCATCTGATTACTTGGACCAAAAATCGGCACCCGTATTTTTTATATAGATTGTATTTTGCCGCTTATACATTTGGGCGTACTTAACCGAGCTTCCGCTCCCATTTGTGGTGTGAACCTACGGAGTATTAGTGCGCACCTCTAACTACTCCACTACGGCGGCTATTGATCCCCTTGTATTTAATTTATATATGTATGTGTTATTCCTTTTGTCAAACTTTTCCATTCGTGCCCACACAATGCGCCCGAGCAATCGCTAAAAACAACAATAAATATAATGGTTGCAATTGCTACATAAAACGCCTGCGTGTAAAAGTACCAACGACAATTTAGCAATAAAAATTTGCATTTACTACAGATGATTCACCAAAACCACAAAGTTAACGAAGCTACAAAAGGCTCGATGTGCCTTTACACCCAACTGGGCCAAGCCGAAACTTAAACGCGTAGTTGGACCCTTCGCTGATTGCGAACAGGAAATATCTTTATACGTACGTACATACATTATACATATGCAATGGAAGTTTAACGGAGCATATACGTACATGTAAACACGTATGTATGTATGCATGTATATGGTGCAGCTCTCTTACCGATTGTAGTAAGCCAACTGCGCGTATCCAAAGTACGAGATATAAAACCTACATACCTCCTTATGCAAACCCTGCGAAAAATGCGACTAATGCGGGATGACTCTAGGATCAATTGCAAAGGAACATGCAACTAATACTACTTTTGATCTCTTTATATGGAATGAACTGTTCGTTTTTGTTCGGGCATGTCCTACAAAGAGACCCTTTATATCCGAACGGGTATAAAAAACGGCTAATCACTTTTAAAAAATAAAAATAAAAATTTGCGCAGGCCAGGATTCGAACCAGGGTTCTCTGGTTTGTTAAGCGAATACTCCCTCTATCTGCTAACTCTGCACATAAAATTTCATTGTCTAAGTTCAATATCATTAAATCGTTAATTGTAAACGTTGGAGGAGTCGGTGATTAATTTATCTCCAACAATACCCCCGTATGAGACTAGTTGCGACTAATTAATGCCCAATTGTACCCGATTGAGACTAATCTCGGAATACTCCCTTTAGAGTTTAGTCGCACAATTTCTTGCAGAGTATGTACATATGTATGTTTATGCATTTGTACGAGTGAATGCAGCAGAATGAACTTTTTCGATCCCTGAAGCTTAACTTTCCTGCCCAATTGAAGATTCGAATGCTGATGTGTTGTTGTTTTTTTTGTTTGCCGCCTGCGAGGACGTTTGACGGCCGTTTCTTTTTTCGTTGATTCGGCGCGCGTTGCTACGACGCCCATGCATGTCAACCAAGTCACAGAATTAAATGCAAAAGTATTTATTTATTTTTTTTTTTTCTTACTTTACTCTGCAACTTTGCGGCTTTATTTCGATTTGAATTGTGAAAATGAAAATTGGCTGCAGACAGCAAACAAAGACCGTAGGCTGTCAGCTGGACGAGTAGTCAGCAACATGCCAATGTCGACAGGAAGGTAGGCAGACAGTCAACCTGCGCGCATGCGCAGATAAAAAACACTAGGGGTATTCACCATCCGGTGCATACGTTGTTTGAACACATGAAACAACAACAAAATTATCCAATCATGCTATTTATGCTATATATATCTATGCACTGTATGCGCAAGATCGCGAATACCCCTACTGTAGAGATATTCGTACATTGGCTATTCCATTCAACTGTGCATATAAGTATGTTCATATTAATAAAAGAATATATCCATGTCCACGTACCTATGTATGCATATGAAAATAAAAATATCTAAGTGTGTATATTCTGCATTGTTCTGCAGTTCGCTTGCATTTAAAATGCGATTGTTTTTCTTGCAATGGTTTGTAGTTCTTCAGGCTGTGCTGATAACGCCCACAGTTGACATTTATGGTTACGTGTTGTTTATTGTGTGTTTACTTGGTTTATTTAGTGCAACGCGCCACGTAAAGCTGTAGGAGGCTGTTAGCCGTAAAATGTGTCCGAACCTGTGAGAAAAGTAGGAAACGAATCTTTGTCTGGAACACTTAAAAACTAAATTTTTATTGTGATTTAAGTAGATCAACGAGAAGATTATGTGCACTTTAAAGTAATTGGATTTGGGTAGGGTGGTCCATTGGGCCTCACTAATACCAATTAAGGCAAGTGAGTTCCACTAGCCTAGGGCTCGATAAAACATAATAGACTTGACTACGGTTTCGTGGAGCTAATAAATTGCTTTGGGCGAGACACCCCTTCTTTTTCAATAACTTCCCTACAGCAGTATAAGCAGACTTATGGCTTCCTTGGCCTTTCCTCGATGTTATGCCTCCACGACTGCTTCTTATCAAGGATTAAGCCCAAGCATCAGTGTTTTTGCACTTTCTAGTGAATAAGAGCTTTTCGGTACCTAGTAGGTACGGTCATATGCCGTTATAAGAACTTGAATGAACACGATCACAATATACGAATTGTGTTGTTGTTTTACGTGGAAATAGACATTCAATATTTAAAATTTATTTCAATAAGTACAAATATAGGAGCCCATTTCGTATAGATAGGTGCCCGGAAACTCCAAGCTCGCAAAATCTTTACGAAATCTTTAAGAATATCGGAAATCGAATTTTCAAAGAAAATCGTATGAAGGGGTTGGCATGAACTCGTAAAAAAACCTTCTCTGCACACTTCCGTAAAACAAATTCTGAAAGATTTCTTCACACGGCAGCATTATTGTATTACTTTACCGATTTTCTTTCGAAATTTCATAAAAGATTCGAAGTAAAAAGCACATAATTACTTATTTAAAAAGTGGAATGCTTATAGGCATTAAGACAAACCCCCTCCCAGCCATTAATTCACTTTTAAGTTTTGCCATGGGTTAAAACGAAAATAGTCTTTCATGTTCATATTCCATTCCGACTGCCAGAGTTGAGACTAAAAAAAAAAACAACTACTCCATTAACACTTTCAATTTTCGCTTAGCCACCTTTGTGAATTTGCTGTCGGCTGCTTTGGCTTCATTATAGCCAATTATCACAATCGCTTACTGAGCTAACAACAGCAACAACATCAATTGCTGCTTCGATCGGCAAACTGTGATTTTGAATGATAACTTCAGTGAACACTAAGAAATCATTGAAGCATTCATTTCTTACCCTACTCTTCCTTTTTTTAACTTAGCTAGTTACCCCTGATCTTACTTCTCACCTCTCGCCAATTATGTTGTAAATGCTTTGATAAAATACATACTCATAGTCGGAGAGTACAAAGAGTAAAAAAACATTTAATGTTTCCGATTTGTTTTGAGGGGCTTTCGTGCGGCAAAAAATCAAACGCAAACGAAAAAAGTTTGCCGCGATGCTCTCTGCCTCTGGAAAAGTACCTGGTTTTTTGTTTTTATTGTTTAAGTATTCGTTTGTTCAATCAGTAAGTAGCATTGCCAATAGGTCATAACTGTTAGGAAAATACATATGTATGTATGTAGGTTTGCTCGAGCACTTTGTTGTAATATAAAATACAACAAAAATAACTATTACCCTGCGCTCTGCTCCGCTACCGACTATACCTATTTGATATTTGAAATATATTATAATAATTAGACTTGTGTTCAAATCTCAATGTACGACTCGGTCTCACTGTCTGTATATTGCACGCCACGCCGAGATTTGGTAAATTTTGCGTATTCCGACAGGACGTTTGCCAACCGGGCCAGTTCTTGAAGCCCACACGTTCAAAGATCGTTTTTGCACAAGCCACATCGTCGGCAATATTGTCATCAATAAAGTCTGTAGATTGAACAAAAGTGAATTGTAATTTGCATAAAGATTTAAAAGCTTAAATTATTTTCAAAGTACTGTATCCAACCTTCACACTTCATATCACATATGCCACCTTTGCGACTAACGCGACACCAATCCTTGCTGCTGATTTGGAAGAGTCCATAACTTGCGCTGCCATTGGGATTTCGCTTCACAACTTTGGTATTCCTATTGCTTTCGTGCTCGATCAAACATATCCCTGTGGGTTAGAACACAAAAAAAAATATTGCATTATTTCACTACTTGTTATTGCAAGGTACTTACAGTTTGAAAGAAATGTTTTGTTGATTCCATATTTTTCCAAAAGCTCTCTCGCCAGTTGGCAGCGCATATATTCTTTACCACCGACTTGCGCATTAAGCAAGAGACAGCTCAGTAGTAACGTGAACAGCAGCGCCTTAGAGCAGGACATTTTTGAACATCTGCAAAAGAAAGAGTAAATTAAGAGTAAAAATAAGGATTTTCCAGATCTGGTTGAAAAGTCGACATATTTTGGAGTAAAATAAGTCGACTAATTTGCTGAAAATACTGCAGGTGTTCATTAAATGATATTCCCAAATAAGTAAATATGTCTGTATTAGGGATGCCAATCTCGGGATCCCGGGATACCGGTGATTTTGACGTCCCGAAAATTTTTAAATATCGAATTGATAGTAAGAATCTGTTTATGAATTTTGAAGTATGATTTTTGTAAAATGCCGTTTTGACTGCAATTAACAAAAAGCTTGAAACTGTACTTTTAAATTGCAGTCTGAGCCTTTTTTTGAAGAAGATTTCAATGAATTTACTCATAGCGTCGCTAATGTAAACGAATCAGAGAGTTTTAAGGAAAAGTTAGATAATTTTTTAGATCAATCTACTCAAAACTTCCTCAAATCGAAAAAATTATAATTTGACCGACGTGCTGGTAAAAGAAGTTCAAATATTTTGTAATGGAGGAGATAGGGGTCATTATCTTCAAATGGATTATGTCTACCTTTTGACAGTTCAGCCTAAAAGTGTTGATGCCGAAATATGTTTTTCATCAGTAGGTTTTGTATGTAAAAACTGCAGGTCAAGCTTAGAAGACTCCGCTTTGAATGCTTTGCTGCTCTTACGAAAACATTTTAAGTGCAATAATAACTACACCGGCAAAAAAGGGGGTGTGTTTTTAACCAGACCCAACTACCAACATGTATTTCGACCCGCTGAATCCGATTCTGAGATCCGTTTGACTCGTACACCCTCAAAATTTCTAGTAAATTGCGAAAAAAAAGGCGAAAAATTCTCCATTCGCGCATTTCTTTATAGAGTAGAATAAACATGTTTAGAGAAATTGTTTTTGTATATTTTTGTTTTATGTTTTTTTTTTATTAATCGTCACTTTAAAAAGTACCTGGTATTTACATTATTAATTGTGATGCATACGTTCCTCAATCACATGGTTTTTTAAATACAATTAAAAAAATGTTTTACTTTAAAATTTGTCTGATTTAATAAATATCGCTAGCGTAGAGAGGATATATCCCGGGATCCCCGGATTACCTAAAAAATATCCCGAAATCCCGGGATCCCAATTTTTCTGATATTTTGGCATCCCTAGTATGTATGTACATATGTATTTTTGTTTGAGAAAAACAGCAGCTAAGGCTGGGAATTAAATTATTTCTCCTATTTCCAACGTTGTTTATCAACATAGCGTCCACTTGAAAAACAAACGATCGCATATTACATATAAGGTACTAATTTTAAAATATGAGTGGCTAAACAGATCTGCAGCTAGATTCCTTATCGATGCATCACTTGCTTCATCATGCTTCAACGATGGCGAATACCAATAATTTCTCGCTACAGACCACTGTCTATATCGATGTCCAGGTCTACAGTCGAAGCTCATCACGCTTCTTCAACAGTCTGGGCGAGATAGCGGAGTGGGAACTGTTGGATCTCCTCGGCTTCATTAGGGATAGTAAGTGGGTCAGTAGAATAATTACTTGAAATTACTTAGCTACTCTCTCGGTTATGGGGCGCTCGCTTAAATAGAACACTCACAATGGGCAATTCTGTTTCCGGAATGAAAGTATGGAATATTCCACACAAGCCCTCCTAACCTAACCTATGTATGTAAGTAAATTAGTGAGATACAATAAACCGCTAGATAATTTGTAAGCTCATTAGTCACTGTTCTCATTTATATGCCATAATATAAACTAAGACACTTACTTATAACCACAAGTCATCGTTCGCTTTGTATAAAACCAATTGAGTTCATAAATTCAAACAAAAAATAAAATTAGTACATTACACTCAAACCGCACGCATTATGACTAATTTGTAGTTGGACGTGACTTATTGGATTGTTATCGAGTTACATACTTAAGTATGTAAATTTGTAATATGTGCCATCGCGCACTTAAACCCCCTCAATGCTAGAATCCACATCGTGTTTACTGCAACATAAAATAAAATTAGGAAATTTGTAGGCGGCGAACGGATGTTTTGGGTTTCCTAAAGTGAACTAATAGACAAGCAAATTAATTATGTGGGCAAAAACGTAAATACATAATAATATGCAAGAAAATCAACAAAATGAAATAATCAAGGTTAGGCAAAAACATTTACAATTAAAACAACAAAAATAAAACAAAAGACTCGTCGCGACGCAGCGATAATAAATCAAAAGAATTCGCAAATCACTTAAACAAGCGAAACTTAAAAACTTCTCTGCTCATGATGCTAATCTCTAATTTCTTCTAACCGGATTGTTTTGTGTATAAATTAATGTATATTAGTATTCGAGTATATATACATCTATACATACATATTTATGCATATGTGCGCAGTAGCGTAGCCAGGATTTCGGAAAGGGGGATGAAACTGAATGTCTAGAGGCTTCGTCTATGTGTATTTTTTCAAACATATGTATGTTTATGGGCCACTCTTACAGTTGTATATTTTATTTCCACTCGCTTATTCCGTACTGAAAATTAGCAATTAAAATTTTACAGCTTTTATCAGCTGATGCTGGGTAGATTTTAATTTTTGCGAATACCGGATGTACAGGGTGTCCTGATAAGGATTCTCTAAAGGTTCATTCTGAGCAATTAACCTTTTTTTTTGTTGAGCAATTAGTCAGCAACAAGAAAAATTATATACGTACTTTTTGTAAAAAATGCGCCTTCCCTTTACGAAGTGGGGTTTCTCTTCATAAAGATCATGAACACGCTCTTCGGTCATACCATTTCAGATTTCACTACATAATAAAATGACTTCCTCCTCATTTCAAAGTGGGACTCCTCTTCTAAAGGATCGTGAATGCTCTACATCCATACTATTTCAGATTTCAATAGATAAACTATTTTATAGAGCAAAACTGCAGAGTATATATTATTAAATTTTGCCCAATAAACCTTTATAAAACTTTTGGTGTCATCCGGGACAACACACTAGTATTTTCAAACCATCCTGATTCTTTTTTTTTATGGCCGGGAAATGTAAGGAAGTAGAATTTTACCTCCGAAATTTCAGACGGAGAAAATTGCGATATTACTTCGGTCGGCATTTTGTCCAGGGTACAAAGGGCTGCAACCATGTTAATCACGGGTGCCCTACCTTCTACTCTCAGTAAGGCTCTGAAGACTATATTAAATATTCTTCCTACCGGCCTTTACGGTAGCTATCAAGCCAGCTTCAATCTTACCAGACTGAATGCAGCTCAAAAGCTCTGAGTACCATTCCGTCATAAGATGGATTGCATCTTTTTTTTATAGCCGAATCCCAGACAGAAGCGACTGGCTTAACTACTTAGACTTATATCCAGGCTTTACCGCTATTTTTAAGAACGGGTCAAAGCTTGACAATAAAATTGGAAGCGGAATTTACTCTAAAGTCCTTTCGCTCAAACTACGCAGGCGGCTCCCTGACAACCGTAGTGTTTTTCTGGCGAAATTAACAGCTATAAGGGAGGCCTCCCAATGGCTTAATAGCGGTGTAATATTTCTACAATCCGTCAATATTTATTCTGACAGCCAAGCAGCGAATAAATCTCTACGGTACAGTAACACCTCCTCAAAAGTTACTGCCCAATGCAGAAGTATATTAAACGAGCACAGATATGAGTGAGATTTATCGTGAATACCTTCTCAATGTGATGATAATAGCCCCGAAATTCCGGTTGGCAGTGAGAGGTGGACCTTGGTAGGATACGAAGCTTACCGAAACCTCTGCCGTTCTCGTAAATCTCGCTTGTTTTACTCGTCTTGCCGTGCACATCTAGCTTGTCTTTCTCGCCTTGCTCGTTTCGTTAGCTTTGCTCATCTAGCTCACGAATACTCTGCGGGGACTCAGACCTCGAAAGCCGAAGACTTCTGCCAGTTGAGCTTCCATTCGACTCAAGGACTGACAGCCTTTGACGGATTGTCAAGCCCGTAATTCCGATGGCACACAGGAAAAAGACATATTTCTTGAATTTTTGGAAGTTATGGGTATAAAGACTGTCGGGAAGAGTTTTCCCGTGCTGCCAGCAAATTTTTTAAATACCTTCCTGATACCGCCCAGCCCGGCGGTTATTACTTCTAGAACCAATGTGTATATCGCTGAAAAGCCTACTCCATTTTTGCACATTGCACACGGTCTAAAAGGGTATTACCAAAATGGGGGTCTATGCCCCCAATCGCTCTCCATCCCCTTGGCTACGCGACTGTTAGAGTGTAGATACGTTTGCGTTTATTTTAAGTATGCGTGCTTATCACAGATGGAATATTCTTTTATTATCAATTTCGTAAACGCGAAGGTGCTTACTTGGTAATATTGACTCTCGTTAATCTCACGTGCAAACATATGAACAAATTCTTGAGCTTGAACAGCTTTGCAAATTTATATTTACGTAGTAAACAATATGCATAGGGGAAAACACTAAATACGAAAAATCCCAGTATCTATTTTGCAATCAAACGCATGGCAAAATAAACATACACATGTAGGTACATAATTGAAAGCAATATATTAAAAATTAAATTTACTTTTACTTATTTGCATATATAAAACTTGTGCACTTTGTAATTATATGAATTTTATTTCTAATTGTTACTTTGGATTTGGCAATTTTATTTAGTTTGTTTATTTTTTATTGTTATTTACATTGCTTGTGTGCACTTTTAATTAGTTTTGCTTTGTGAGCGCGCGTCACACAATGCCAACAAAAAAAAAAATAGTGACTTATAGAAAGCAACAAGCGATCCGTTCGAGCGGCTGGCAGAAACGATGCGCGCTTAATGATCACAGAGCGGTAACTAAAGCGTGAATGGAACATGTTTTGGGCTTTTGTTTTTGTTGTTTTCTTCACACTGAATGCTGGTCTGTTTACGATTTGAGCGACAAGTGGCGCAAGGTGTACAAATGTGGGTTTGTGTGTGTGTGTGTATGGATGTTTATTAATTCCTGCCGGCATTGGACGCAGGCTAAGTACACTACATACCCTCCAGTACTGCTGGAGTCAATCGCTACTTTTGAACCGCTACTGCACCGACTCCTAGGTAAGTAGCTACTCTATTAACCCGTGGTAGTGCACATGGTAGTGCAGAGTCGAACCAGTCGTAAACAGAATAGCGAAAAACTACGACAGAGGGCGCCCATAAATCACGCAAGTGACTACTTTAGTAACTCCCAGTAGTGCAGAGAGAGCCGATGTTGACTACCGCCTAGGGCATTGCCTTGTAAAAGTAATCGATGAAATACACTGCAAGTAGTCGGTCGGTAATTGACGGAGTTTACCAGGTAGCTGCCGATTCATCAGTCCTGTAGTCGCTCGCCCGTACTGCGGGTAGTTGTTTCTGGTACGCGGTTGGTGTGCTTTTGGTTCAGTGTATTGGTTGTTTTGGTTCAGTGTATGTATTGGCGTATTTGGAATCTATATATATAAAATTAAGTGGCAAAACTTCCTGTTCGTACATTTAAGGCGCAGCGAAGCACGCCGGGTAATTGCTAGTAAATTATAAAATTGTAAGAGATAACATCAAATGCCAGCTGATAGTGTTTTTACTTAGGAGGCTATTATACGATGCCTTTCATTAAAATGCATATTCATTAAAAAATTTTAACACACAAAACATTTTTTTATGTAAAAACTAAAAATATTATGGTGAGAAAATAAACGTTTTCTTGCCAAAAGTCAGTGACTTCTCAAACAGGTCTCTCTGCAAAACCTTTTCTAACAGCAATAACCCCACGGCAAGCAAAGCCTGAACCTAGGTGGAATTTGTTTGTCCGAGATGCATACATATAAGTTTATATGTGTACCATTTGTGTACACAGTTTTCTCTTTTGGGATTTCCTAGGTTTCCCTTGTTAGGTTTTTTCACTCGTGGTAAATTGGTATTGATTTTTAGGAATGGAAACACAGACTTACAGGCTTGTACATAAGTATATCCGTGAATCAATAATAATAAAACTACGCCAACCTAAAAAAAAATAAAAATATTAAAAAAATGTTTTCGTTTAAAAACTAAGTGCAACGCTATTATGAATTACAAAGCAGTAGGTTTGTTCGTCGAGCAAAAAATTTGTACGAATTTGTACGAATTATCATGATTTTTGCCCAAATCGCGCTCGTGCAGACTCAACACTCAAAAATTGCGGGAGCAAAGTGACAGTTCTCTTGGAGAGAAGTTGCAAATTCTCTGATATTTTGAGTGTTGGATAATTCTTGCTGAATTTTCGACGAACAAACCTATTGTAACGACAGAAAGGCGTCCAAAGGCAAATTTTTTTTCGTTTGAGTTCTTCTCGAAACGACTTTTCAAATTTTTTACAAGATTTACTGGCTTTTTTACCACAAGTCCTTTGTATAATTGCTTATAGCTCTACGTAGGGACTAAAAATATTCATGAAAATTCATGTCGTTATCTTCGAAGTATTACTACAGCCACTACCTTGTTAAATGGGAAGAAAAATTTTTTGTAATTTTCAGATGGTGCCCTATTTAGAAATCGTGTACACCATTTTGAAAAGGGGGGGATAAGTGATGACTAAAATCTCCATCATTTTATACTTTTCTAATATTTTTTTTGGGGTTATTCTTAAATATGTACTTTATGTAAGTGAAATAAATGAATTTTTATAAGTTCCATATATGAGCCGTTCATTTTGAAAGTGGTATAAGTCACTTCGAACCTCATGTGTTCAGATGACTGATTACTTGTCACCACAAGTGCATCTGCAAATCGATCTATTCCATCTATCGATGAGAGAAATTTTACTTTTTGAAAGTTTTACAGGTTTTATCGAGAAAAGTTGAGAAACGAAACTAGTAATTGGGCATTCAAGCACAAGAGCTGTGAAGTGACTTATGCTACTTTCAAAATAAACGACTCATATGCGTTAGAAAAAATTCATTTTATTAACCAGTTAGAAGAGAAAATTAGTCAAAAACTTAGCGCCAAAATTTAAAATTTTTTTTATGAATGCTAGGTGTAGGGTATTATAATAAAATATAGCTATGTAGTGAATTGCATGATACGAGTTATTAGCATATTACGAGTAAGTCTCTTAGACTTGTGGCTAAGCTTTTATGAATTTTATATTCCAAAACGCGCTCTCTCTCTTGACTAGCAAAACGTTGTGTATGAACTGAATCCGAGTGTAGGTGACAGCTGTTTAAGATTCAAAAACAAATATCTGATAAAAATTGTGTCTTTAAAACAAAACAAAAGTCGACTCGTGAAGCAACTAAAATTAATACCGGTACATTAAATACATGTGTACTATATATGTATGGACTTACACAAGTGCGTATGGCAGCATTTACCTATTCATGGGCCCAAATAAAGTTAAGGCTTAAGCCGATCGAAGAACATCTGAAGCACAAAATTGTTTTAAGGGATTTACAGATTTACATATGTATGTACATGTTAAATAAAGTATGTAAGTATAGTTGATAAAAAACGCAACTTTTACATTGCTCTTTATCTTTTCACCTTTTGCCGTTGCGCTTATCAACATACATAAGTGATAAGAAAATGCGACTCTAGCAAAATTAACCAGGAACGGAAATTATCAATCGACGAGGCCCATAGCAGCATACAAACGAGCTACGAGCAAAAGTTTACATTAATTTAATTTTTTATTAAATTTCGTATTTTACTTTATTTTATTTGCATTAATCCTAAATTATGTCCTACTTATTTACATAGTAACTATGTATAACATATATGTATGAATAGAAATTTAGTTTACTTATGCCAATTGATGCTACTTAACATCGAATTTATAAAATTTAAAAGCTAGTTTTATTTAATTTTTAGTAATGGTAATGTATGTTTGTATGTATGTGTAAATTTGTAAGCGCACTACTACTTCACATATTCGAAATTAATTAATCTATGTATGTATGTATGTACTTGATTTGTATGCGATGCGATACTTAAGGGTAAATCGTTCATTTGTATAAAAAGTCAATATTTCTCATTATTATGTATTTATGTATGTATGTGTGTATGTATGAGTGTGTTTATCTTGACTGTCGCATTAGTAATTCCACTGGAACCTTAGCCCTCAGTCAATACTCTTTTATACATACATACTTAAGCCTATCGGTCACGCCGGCATACACTTGCATGTATATATGTACATACATAGTATATGTATGTATGCATGTTGGCCACCTGCAAAGCTAAGAGTATTAACCACCCATGTGGTATTCCAACTGTTCATCACCTACAGACATAGATTCCGCTGCACTGATTTGTGTTCAGCATCTGGATACATCGGGCAAGGTATGCCCACGACATTTTTTCACCCAACCAGGCCAGGCCTGAAAGCCGTGTCGATTGAAAATCTGCATGGCACAGCGAGAGTCATCCGAAATTTCGTCATTTAAGAAATCTACAAAAAAATAAAAATAAAAATAGAAATAAAAATAAACATACCATTAAACACATACAAAAGTTGCTATTGTATGTAGTTTATTATTGTAAATGTATATGTATAAAAAAAGTACTGAAGGGAAAAGTGAGTTGATACATAAAATGCATAACGATGATATGAAATCATGTAAGCAATTATTTATTACTTTTACGATTCCTACAGGATCAAGTCAAGCTATAGATGTTCGAGAATAATTTTAAAACTTCTAGCCCTAACCGCCAAAAAGATATAAACGACACTTTTTTATTTTATTTTTGATGCAGAAATGTTCCTAGATGCACTTTGCATCAAAAATAAAATTTTTAAAGAAATGTCGCTTACATCTGTTTGGACGTTAGGAATCGACTTTTTTTATAAATTAAAGATTGCATTTCAGTTTGTTACATTTGCACTGAACCTTTATATACATATATACATATACAATACAATTAATTAATAAATTTTTTTAATAAAATTGCAAATATTTTCGAAAGTATTAGGCATACATAATTTGGTATATGGGCCTTTTTTTGTAGAGAATCGAAATAAGCTTAAAAAAAATGTTGTTTGGCACTTGAACTTTAATGGACTTGGGCGAGCCTAAGATATTGACCAAAAATTGTCATCTTTCCCACAGATTGGTTTTAGAGCGTAATGAACCATATTTTTGCTATTACCAATCGAAATTCTAAAATGCGGATTTTCGGCCCACGCTAATGTACATATGTATTTAACTGTCTTGTTTTTTTTATAATGACGAAAGAGTCGCATTTGTATATACCGAATTGACTTCACTAACAAAGTAGGCTTGACGTCAAATAAAAATATTCTTTGCATTCGCAAGCCTATGTTAAACAAGTTAGTTGATATCTAATTGAAATTAGCAGCTTTCATGTAAGAAACTTTTCTTATGGCGCATGGCATGTTGGAAATTAACGCCAACGTAAGCACACATAAAGTATGCTGTACATATAGACATGTATGTACATAAGTGAATTTGATCATCATCTGCATGCACTTATACACATTACATATTTAATCCACTTAGGGAATAGCACCTAAAGTTGCCCGCTCAGTACTGACTTTTTATCTAGTCTACGCATATGTAGTAATTTGACTCAAAACACCACTGCACGATACAATAGGCGTATTCTCGATCCGTTGCATAAATAACATGATTGGATAATTTTGTTGTTGTTTCATATGTTCAATCATGCTATTTATGGATCGAGAATACCCCTAATAATTTTTAGAAGGCAGTTTCACTTCTTCTTCTTATACGTCATGTTAGCTGTCTAACATAAATCGTGTTTCGTATTGTTTGTGGTACCAACTTCTTCAAAAACTAAAATCCAGCTTTTGACGTTGGAAAAATAAAACAGCGCAAAGCTAAACATATCAGTAGGTGAAAATTTCAAAAATTATTGAATAATTTTCTTCATAGAAAATGTTGAAAAAAAAACTGCTGCTTCCGTGGATGTTGCAACATGCGGAGGCCAACTAAAGGACCAAATTAGAGGTGCCATAACCATAACGCCTTAGCCATAACATAGCAAACTTACTTCAGAGCTGCTTATGGTTATGGCGAAAACCCAAAATTAAATAGATACCTACGGTTATGGCTCTGGTGTTATAGTATGGCATCAATAATCGTATACAGAGTTGCGAATATGTTTTATAGGAACATTTAATTGCTACGGTTATGGTTATGGCTAATGGTATGGCACCACAAATTCAGCCTTAAATCGCCGCCTCATGCAGTCTGTGGTGTGCGGTGGGTCTATTTTAAACAACGAGAATCGATATCAGGCTAATATTTTGTTCATTAAAGGTTCATCATTATTTTTTGAAATTATAGTTCATTATCTAACGAAAACTATGCATGCATTTTATGAAAATTCGAAGTTTTCAAGTCATCAAAATTTTGAGTTTTTTAATTAGAATTCTTAGAAAACTTTTGAGTATGCATTTTTGTAGTTCATTGAATTTTGGTAAAAATGAAGTGGTTGCTCATTCTCGACATGTAAAAAAAAATTATGGAACATATTTACTTTGTATATGTTTACACGATCGCACAAATAATTATGAATTCTTGAAGTAGGAATTATAACTGACATTAAATAACGGAATAAAAACGCGATGAAAAAAATGTCCGATAGTATCGCGATAGTGACCACCATTCATCGATAGTGACGTTCCAGGAAAATCGCCGTAAGACTAGAGAACACAATTTTAACGAGTTACTTCAAGAGAAAATTGATTCAAAGACTGAGGCTCACTTCAAGCAAAAAGGTCTTCCACGATCAGTTGGACTGCCTTATTAGAAACATGAAATATCTTGATTTAAACGAAGATGCTCTGCAAGAACAAGCAGCGCCCCTTTGTGAGGTTATAGATTTCATCCAATTGATAGAAATAATTATACATTTAAAGAATTTTCACGAGGCAAATCTAGGATATTATTTTGTTTGGATAGCTTTCGGTTCTGCATTTATATTCTTTTTGCCTAAAATAAATCTCCCCCATCCCTATCAAGAATTTTTTATAAGATTAAAAGATATTCTTGTGTAGAAGCGCAAGGCTCTAAGACTTTAAGGTTTTTTGAACTTTATGTATTTTTTTCTAATACAAACCATACTTACCTTCACATTTAATATTACAAATTCCACCCTTTCGACCTTTTCGACACCAGGTTTTACTATTTATCTGAAAATGAAGTAAGTGCAAATTCTATTATTATTTTTTGTCGAAACTTTTAAAAGTATAAGGCTATTTGTTATTTATAAGTACTAACCTGAAAAAGTCCATAGCTCACGCTGTGATTCGCTAATTGCATAACTTTTGAAGTACTTCGGCCGCTTTCATTTTCCACAAGACACACCCCTAATAAAAAAATTACAAAAGGATAAAAGCTAATTAGCAATCACACCAGTAATTTAACAAAAATAAAACAAAATACTTTATAGTTCTAAACTTGTTGAAAAACTTGCGTGTATACAAAATAGATTCCCGTTCAACTAACTCTGCTTGCTTTTGTCATATTAAATTGTTTATTAAACCCAAAAAGATAATTTTGTAGATAATTTTATGATATAATCTTAAGGGTTTAAAATAAATCCCTTCATTATTAAATAATTTTTCAAAACCATTCTGATGAAATATCTTGCATGCTGGTAAAACCGTGCAGAGTATCCATTTTATGGCATTTAGGAAAAGCAATTCTCCCCAAAAATTCCGGTAAGTTCAACACAAAAAAAAATAAAAAATCCTGCAAGGTCCTGAATAAATCCGGCAAGATCGAAAAAAACCTTTCGAAAATTGCGGAAAATATCAAGAAATCCCGAGAAAATCTCGCAAGTTCCTTAAAAATCCCGAAAAATCAATAGACATTTTATTTTCAGACAATGCCTTAAGTCAATTTATATATGTTTTTTTTTTATAAAAAAAAAAATTAAAGTGCAGAGCTTTCTTGATGAAAATACTAACATCCA